GTCAGGGAGGAGCCTGCAACCAAGGTATGTGCCCTTGACCTGAATTGAACCAGGGCCAGTGCTCTATCCACTGAGCCAAACTAGGTAGGGCAACAACCCCAGACTTTTAACTCTTCCAGATCTGTATGTCTGGCTTCACCACGTAAGCATTTTCTCCTATGTTGAAAGGAAGACACTGAAATTAAGTATTAAATTTTAGCTCAAAGGTTATTTACCCAGGAAATTATGAACAAAAATACTGGAACAAAAATTGAGGTTCTCTAACAATCAAATCCCATAATAAATACTTCATTATCATAATACTTTCTTCATTTCTCTATTTTTAACTTTTTATGGTTACTTTTAAGGTTCCTGAGTAATTTCTAATAAAGTATCTCAAATAGTTAGGAAATTTCTTTGACTGCTTACATAATTTGTATCACTAAATATTGCAGTATTAGATCCAGAATCGGAAAATACTTGAAAACTAGCAAATAAATTTTAAAAAACACAAAAGTATTTAAGGTTAATATATGTAAAACAGAAAGCTTAACTCAGCACGCACATGCAGAGTGAAAACTAAATCATTTTATTTATTTAAAATATATTTTTATTGATTTCGGAGAGGAAGGGAGAGAGAGAGAAACACAAATGATGAGAGAGAACCATTGATCGGCTGCCTCCTGCATGCGCTGCCCCCCCCCCCCCCCCCCCCCACTGAGCCCGCAACCCCCAGGCACGTGCCTTTGACCTGAATCAACCTGGGACACTTCAGTTCTCAGGCTGACACTCCATCCACCGAGCCAAACTGGCTAGGGCAAAACTAGATCGTTTTTATATTAATCTTGGAACTAATCACAATCTTAACACAGCTGAAAATTTTTTATGATCTCTCAATCATTTAAGGCCTAATACTATTTCTCATGTTAACAGAGCTACTAATGACAATTCTAGATGGTCAAGATGAAAGATTTCCGTGTAACAAATTGTCCCTCCCCAATTAAAATGAAAAGAAATAGCTTCACTTTTGTGAAGGCAAATATAGATATGTGTTTTTATAGAGATGTGAAAACCTTTACTAACTTCAGTGTTATCAGAAAAATTAAAAATGCTGAATATACAATTCTTAAGCATATATGTATCATTTTTAGGTTACAATGTATGTACTGTGTGTGTATGTGCTCCAAGTCTGTAAAAAAAAAAAAGAAAAAACCTTTGGAGAGTTTTTCTTTGAAAAAAAATAAAATAAAAATAGTTCAAAAACAAGCCTGGCACCCAAAGTAGCCAGGCTGTGGAGTCAAACACTCCCCACCTAATTGAACAAGTTAAACTCCCTGTACATTTTAATTTATCCGTAAATTTTCACTTCATAAGGTTACTGTGAGGATTAAATGAGATAATGTTCTAGACTTGACACAGCATATGACACACTGTAAGTAATCAGCATTAATTCTCCTCCCCCGAACATGTGGGTTCAGAAGACAGAAGTAAATTAGTTTCAAAAACAGAGACATTTAAGTATCTTAACATGCTAAGGGCCTGAAAATGCCGCCCCAGAAGTGGGTTCCTTAGAGACTAAATCATTAGATTTACGACGTGTCTAGAAAAACAGGGAACGGGCCCAATAAGTTCTCTCTTTAGTGTCCGCATAGCTGTAGTGTCCACGTTATGTCCCAGGTCTGCGCCCCGACCCGGGGTTGCTAACAGCACAGCGGCCCCCGGGAGACCCCTCCCTCCGCTGGCAGGCGAAGGGCCCCTAACAGGGGGCGGCCAGCGACACTCTGTAGAAAGCTGACCCGTCCCAGCGCCGCGGGGACTGACACCAAGGGCGCCTTTCGCCTCCTCACTTAAACTTGGCGGAGGAGGGAGGGGTTAAGGGACGCCAGGCGGTTGCCCGGTCAACCACCCACTTCCTCCTGAGACCCGGAAGTGAGACGAGAACCGGAACCTACGCAGGGCCAGGGTCGGGGACGCTCCCGGGAGCTGACCGTCCTCGTCACAACTGAATGGTTGGGAAAGAGCCGGAAAATGACAGCAGACCTGTCCCCCACACGAACAGTGACTCTGCTGCGGACGAACTGACGCCCGCACGCCAGCCAGCCGGCTCCGCCCCAGCCAGCCATTTTCCCGGCGGGCGAGAGCGCGCGTCCGCGCCCCTCCCATGCCTACGTCACGCCCAGGCCACGCCCCCCGGCGCCGGGGGCCCTCCCCGCCACACACCCCTCTTCCTCCACCCGCGGGGACCCCTCCCCTTTGAACCCTTCGGCTGGAGGAGCTGGGGAAAGGCTATAGCCCGGAACTCTCCCAGGGCGGCAGGGGAGGACGGACGCCCCGATGGCCGAGCCCAGAGCGGAGCGCGGAGGGAGGGAGGGACCTCCCCCGAGTCCGCCTTCGCGGTCCCCTCTCGCCCCCTCCCCCCGCACGTTCCAATGCATATGCTCCTCGGGGGGTGGGGGCCTCAGGGGCTGGGGGAAGCCAGGCCCGGAGACCCGCGGGAGCCCGGCCACTCACTCCCTGCAGCTCGCCGCCCGGCTGCACGCTGCCTCGCCCGGCAGGAGGCTTGCGGCACGGGGCAAGCCGGAGCCAGAGCCAATGCTTGTTGCTTAAAATGGCTGATCCCCCTCCACGCCAGCTGCAGCGCTGGGTCTGCAGCGTGGGCTGACGAGCAGCCCCTATCTCCACTCTGGAGACCCC